TACCCACCACCCTTTTTATAAAATTATTAAATCATAATTTAGGCGTCATGTTTTATGGTCCTTCAAGTAGTAGTATAACTGTTTTAGCTCGAGTAGTTGCACATTATACTGAATGTAAGGTGCCGGCAAAACAAATTTCAAGTAAAAACTTTTTTCTTGCCTCTTTTTACATCATCTGATAGAGTTTTGTCTCCTGATCACGAATATCTACTTTTTAACCTTATCAAAATCTCCTTTTTGGTCGAAAACTGCGAAATACTGGCGGGGTGTCGCTTTTCGAGAAAAATCCATCTTCTCAGGAAACATGCATAGTTTTCGACTTTGTTCTATATTTTTGACTTTGAAACTATTTGTTCCCGATTCAGCATCATAAACTGAGTCTAGAAAACTTTTTCAGCTTGACTCTAGATTAAAACTATGCTACTGGCGACGCGTCGCATTTTGTCGAGCGCATCATTAATAGGTGGATTTTGTAAACCTATCTACTTTTTCTACGTAAATGATAAAGCCAAATATTTTATCTCATTTGATTCATCATACCACCGGCTACAAAGTTACAGAGTGATTTTTCTAAATTCTTCTTCTGTCTTGTGAAAATCCGGTTTTACTGGAACCATAGTCCTTTTGAGTGGTATTCGCTAGTTTTCAGGTTCACATAAGACTTTAGCCACAAACTAGTTACAGATTCGGAATCAGCATAAAAAACTGAGTAAAATGCACCCTAAAAAATCCAGACAGATTAAGTGTCTATACAAGACAGCTCAACTATTTAGACAAGACACTTCGACTTGATTCTGATTGGCAGATAGATCTCTAATTTAGACGGTTTAGTTGTCTACGGATGACCGATTTTAATCATTCGTGTGTCTTAAATTTTTTTGATTGGCTGATTTAGGCCAATTAGATAAGCGTCTAATATCTGTCTCGTTTAGACGCTTCAATCGATCTGAAACCTTCAGCTTGTAGAAAACAATGACTTAAAAATCGAAATGAATCTTTTGCTGGAAGACTTCTACTAGAACAATTGAGATCAAGTATTTTCTGAGTACTAAATATCCAAGATCTTTCTTTCAATAAATTTTAAAATTTATTGATTAAGCTAAATTTTGAATATTTAGCATTCAGAAACCCAAGATCTCAATTGTTCTAGTAAAAGCTTTTTAGCGTCAGATCCATCTCAATTCTTAATTCATTGTTTTCTACAATCTTTAAGTCTCAGATCGACTGATATATCTAAATAATATCTGGTGATGAACAATTATTTTTGATCGACTGACCAGTATTGATGATTAAATTATCTAGAAATAAAAATATATTTCTAAATACTATTTAGTATTGCAGTAATATAAGTATTTCATACATAATATAATTTTCAATAGTTCTACTACAAAAAAATTAAAAACAAATATATCAAAATATTAGATATCAATTGTTCACAATATAGAGAAGAGAAAAAGTTTTTAGTAATAAACAACACAAATAAGTACACGTTCATAAAATAAGAAATATCATATATTAAAATTTATTCATACCACATTTATTCAATAACATTTGAAGTATTTTATGACCAGGTTTATCGTTCAAATTAATGTATATAATTAAAAGAAGTGCTAAAATTTTATGTATACCACCACCAACTATTGAGACATTCATTTTGTACGGTAAGCCCGTAACAAACATAAAGGATTTTTCAAACTGTTTCATTTTTGATGAAGTAATCACAATTCCTACATCAGGATGAGTACCATTTATTCCATTCTAAGTCAACATAAATATAAAAAAGCAATTAAATCAGAAATGTTTACCTTAAAAAATAAATTCAGTTCACCTGAATCTTTACATAATGTGTTCATCATCATAAAATCAGTTTCACTCATCTAACAAAAAAATATACAATATTAAAAAATTAATAGAAAATACTTACATGTTCTTGTGGACCAATTGAATATTTTTCTATTAACTCATTGAGTAAAAGACGTGCTTGATTTTGTATTTCTTCAAAAGTACACATTTGGTCTTTCAATAAACTATATTCAATAATAAGCTAAAAATAAATAAAGTTAAAATATTTATATTTTTTTCTAATAGTAAAGCAACTATTTTAACTAGCTGAAATTGTCGAATACAATATATTCTATGTATCAATATGAAAGGTGGAAAATTAATGAGTTTGCAGCTGAAAGAAACTAAGAAGAAATGTCTCTTACCGCTTCTTCGTGAAAGATTTCTTGAAATTCTAATACCTTCATAGTAAAATCAACATTCTTTTTCTGACATAACATTCGACCTAGGCATGTAGCGAACCCGAACGTTCGGGTTCGGGTTCGGTCTCAAGAGTTCGGGTTCGGGGTGGTATGCACTGACCTCCAAAAATTTAGGCATCGAAATGATTTTTTTGACATGTGTGGTCACCGAACCCGAACAGTTCGGGTTCGCTTGATGTTTCATAATTTCCTTTATTATGCTTTCACATATGTCAGAAAAGTCATTTCGATGCTTAAATTGTTAGAGTTCGGTCCAAACTACCCCGAACTCGAACCCGAACTCGACCCCGAACCCTGAGACCGAACCCGAACTGTAGTTCAGGTTCGCTACATGCCTAATTCGACCTCGAATTCCATGTGTATTATAAACAAGTGCATGAATTTCGCCAACTGAAATATGTTGTGTCGTTTTGTTCTTAGGCTTTACAATTGAACGAAGACGAATAACATCTTTATTATAAGCAAGTTCTTCTGATTTAGATAATTTAGGATACCAAACTTCTAAACCATTAATTGAAGTACTTGATTGTTCAGTATTTTTAACAGTAGATCCTACAACAAAAGTAACATATTTTTTACTATAACTAATAAAACTTACTTTTTAAAATATTATTAGATTCCATCAAGGGGGAAAAGGCTGATTTAAATCAGTTAAAAATCAAATTTTAATCAAAAAATCAAATTTTAATCAAATAATCACTTTTAAATCATTTAAATCAGTTAAATCATGTATAAATCATTTTTTAATCATCACCACTCATGACAGAAACTTTGTGAAATTACTACTGTAACTGACATAATTAAAACACATTACGTTTATATACGTTATTGGATACACATATGGTATTGCCGAGCACAACAAACAGTTTTTCGGTTTGATTTTATGATAAACATGTGTCCTCTATAGTCGTAGAATATTTTAATATAGAATTTCTTTTTGTCCCTCCATTTAAAATTAAATAATACAGAACGAGAAGAATTTTGTTCGATTTGTTACTATCATTAAGGCGGAAAGATAGAGAGGAAAGATATTTTCTTTTTCTCGGTTCATTAACGTATATTCATCCACATCTTATCGTTATCACGTGCTCATTTCCATCTTATCGTTGTTCTATTCTGACACGTCCTTTATTTGCCTGATAACTGAATAGTTGAATACTTAAATGAATACTTGAATCCAACTTTCTACTATTACATTTATGAAGTTAACAAGATCACAATGTAAAACTTTTACCCAGAAAGATCATCCATCAAATAATAGTAAACAAGACGTAGACGACGAGTATGAAGAATATTTGAGTCAAAAGCAGTCTAATGGCAATAATAATATTGATGACTACGACGAATCGATATTAAGCGATAAATCGGATGCTGATGTTCTTCCTGATGTGTTGAATTCGACATTTCATGAAATGCGCATCTTTGACTCTATCAACAGCAAACAAAGTGAATTGTTTTTTTTCTGTCGAAGCGAATAGACAAGAGAAATTTATGCACAAATATGCTGCAAACTGGTATTTTTCCAAAACAAAGCGTATACTATCATATGATCGATCAATTAGAGTTCAAAAGAAATAAATTTTTTATATCGTTTATTTTTCACAGATAGACAATGTATGTGTGTAACAAAAAATGATCGTTTTATTTTTCTATTTCTTTAACTGGCATAGTTAACTAACATTCAGCTCATCTTCCAATCATTATACATAATCTTAATTGAATTGTAACTCAAAATGCAGAAAAAACATTTCATTTTAAATGTTTTGTTCTAAACTTATATACATATAGATTACATACATTAAATAAACTATGGCATGTATATTTGTACATATTTAAGCTTTTCATATGTACCAATTGATTGCTTACTTCAGTAATTACTTGATAGATTAGCAGGATAAAAGACGAGTACAAGCATTCATATGCCCCATGTATATTTCTAGGGAAATAATAATCTTAAACCACCGTAAAGTCATGTTGTGGTGCTTAATTTACGTGAGTTTTAAATCACCTTAACTCAATTTAAATCATAAAAAATCAGCTTAAGTCATTTTTAATCACAAAATCACCTTAAATCACTTTTAATCACAAAAATCAATTTTAATCACAAAAATCAATTTTAATCGCAAAAATCAATTTTAATCAAAAAATCATAAATCGCTTTTTCCCCCTTGGATTCCATTGTAACAAATGCTTCTTTAGTTGTAGAACTATCAGTTTCATTTTGTGCTAAAATGAAAAAATGAATAAACAATAGAATTTTCGACCATTGACAGATAGTAAAGGCGATCATCATCAGTAAACACCAGAAACACCAGAAACACCAGAAAAAACCAAGATAATCAAATGCTAATCATAATCACCATCATCATAACAATGATAATACACAACCATAAACAATGCTAATCATAATCATCATCACTATACTAACATAATAACATTAATAATATTAAAAATAATACCAATGATAATACGATAATGCCATGATAAACATAATAATCATAACATAACTATAATGAAAGACTCAAGTTTGAAATAACTGCATATAAACAAGTCAAATAAAAATAAATAAACTTGAAAGTAAAGTCAAACTAAATATAATGTGGTATGTTATCACTGTTATTACATTAATATTATCATTGTTATGATGATGGTGATTATGATTAGCATTTGATTATCTTGGTTTTTTCTGGTGTTTCTGGTGTTTACTGATGATGACCGCCTTTACTATCTGTCAATGGTCGAAAATTCTATTGTTTATTCATTTTTTCATGTTTTCTCTTATATTTATATAAAACTTTCATTTATATTCATATATTTATCGATTCACTGCAATTTTCTCTTTATTTACTTTATTATCAAGTTTACACTTATTTTAAAATGAAGAAAATACTTAAAAATTTTAACAGATCGGATGTTATATTTGTTTGTGTTGTTGTTTTGCGTGGTAATATTGATTTATAAACAGTAACGATTGATTGTGATGATACTAAAATACAAGAAAAATACTAGCAATGTATATTAATAACTTCGATTTATTTAAATTTAATTCTTAGTATATAAAACTCAAGCAAATATTAAAAATCTTGTAAAAAATCGAATGCACCAGGATTTTTATTTTTGAAAATGACATAAATTATTTTTTTAAATTTATAATTGGAATATTGATAATACTTTACGAACGTACAGATAGAACAAGCAGCGAAATTAATGTATGTTTAAATGATATTCTACCGCTGTAATTCAATATCATGAGCTATATGGACTAGACTAGTCTGATCGTATTAAGAAGGGTGTGGGTGTGGGTGTGGGTGTGTGGGTGAGCGTCTGAGTAAAGAAGAGAGGCACCACACCCACACTCAAACCCACACCCACACCCACACCCAGACCCAGACCCACACCCTCACCCACACGCACATCCACCCTCAAGATATCATCTA